CCCCGGCACCGCGGCGCGGTGCACGCTGGGACTTGTAGTCCTCGCCGTCCTTCCCTCAGGAGGCACAGTGAAGCGGGGCCATCCTACGCTTTAGGATGCGCTAATACTGAGGAAGCAGTGCTGAGGAGAGGGCGCCTACCTCCTTCCAGCACCACAGCTCGGTCCCGCACAGCTCCGGCTCTTCCCTTTTCAGCTTCTCACGTGAGGCGGCCGCCTATCCCCTCCCCGCCCAGCGCCCATCGCGCGTGTTGTGCCGGTGCGGCCGCCTTGGGTGTGGCAGAGCTGTTTGGGTGCTGGGCTGGTGCCGGGGAGTCTGTGAGGAGGGAGAGCTGTGAGCGGAGGGAGAGCTCGTCGCTTTGGTTGTTTGTTGAAGTTTTGCTTAAAGCTGCGTAGGTCACCGGGGAGGGCTGGGGAAAGGGCGGTTTATCACGCTCAAGATGGAGGAGTAGTGGCCAGGCACTGCTGAGGGGACATCCCTTCAGCCAGAGGGCAAAGTGCAGGCCGCTCTCTCCGCCCAGCCTGCCGGGTCCCTGCGCGCTGCTGGGGTGGGAGCCCACACTGCTTGTGCCCCCTTGGCTCTTGGGGCAGGTGTCCCCTGAGAGGCAGCAAGGAGCAGTGTGGGGCTTAGCATGGTGGGTGTTGCTCCGGCCATTGTGTAGAGAGACCCGTGCGTGGTGGGGAAGGTGAAAGCAGTCCTCTTTCGTGGTGGCCATGGCGGGCAGTGAGGCGGCGGGCAGGCCTGCTCCTGCCTGTGTGCTGGGCATAGACCTGGGCACCACATCGGTTAAGGCAGCCCTGTTGATAGGGGCAGAGCAAGGGCAGGCAGTGGCAGAGAGCTGCGCCAGGGAGACGCAGGCACACACCAGTAGCCTGGAAGCTGGACCACAGGTAAGGGGTGGCAGGTAGCACTGCTGGCAATTTCAGGCTACTGGCCTTGTCTCGTAGCGGCCGGGTTGTTTTACTATGTTGTGCAGACTTTAGTGGCTTTCCTGGATAGACAGATGGTTGCTGTGTGTGTCTGCATCTCTGAAAGTAGAATTAAAGTACTCTCTGTTTACTGTTCAAGAAAGTCAAGTAGAACTGCTTGATTTAAGAAAGACTCAGGTTTTGAAAAGTTGTGTGAGACAATCTAAAACTGTTCTCCTGTGAACCACTGCCTTGTCTTTGACACTGCCAGTCAGGAAGCAGCAAGCGCTTGCCAACTGGAAGGGTATTTTGCACTTTAATGTGAGATGGAATCATAACTGGAAATTCCCCATGGAAATAACCAGGAACACGTACTTCTCTTAAAGATCTTTACATCCATTGTGTTGATCAATCTAAGAAAGGATGAATCAGAAAAAATATGTATCAACATATCTCTGGCCTAGTACTGTAGTGAGTCCAGGGGCTAATTTCTGAGCAAAGATAGCAAACAGGCCAGTTCTCCTCCCTACAGTCATGTTTATGCAGCCAAAAGTATGTATGTGCAGAATAGTTCACATCCATATGTAGGTGATATTTGAATACTTTTGCTTGTAATCTTCATACTGGTCTATCACGCTTCAGAAGTGTGAAATACAGTTTCTCCTGTGGCACGGTTTGGTCAGTTTGCTGAGGAGATCAGTTTGCTGGGTAATTCTAGGAATAGAGTATCCAGAAGTGGAAGTATCAGCATCATCAAAATAAACAGTGAGTAGATACAGAAGAGCTTTAGGAAGGTATAAGGGAGACTGCATGCCAGTCAGAACACACAGATAATCCTCTTTGTGAGCAAAAAAGAAGAGCAATATATAAGGTGGACTAATGGAAGCATGCAGTGAGTGTTAATGGATTTATTTTTTTTTTAAAAGGTATAGTTGCATATGGTAACTTAGGAAATTAAGAATTATTTAGCCTTCAGTTTAAGAGACTCTTATCTCATTCTCAACTTGCTAGTATGGTTTTTTAGTTTTTATGGGTTTGTGGGTTTTCTTGCTTGTTTTTTTCAATTTAGTAGCGAATGTTATTCTAATAGGTGCTATTAAGCTAAATGAATTCTGTTCTTCACTTCTGACTGCTGTAGCCTTGCTTAATAAATACACTGGGTGAATCCTAATGGTTTCATACTCAGAATAATGCTTTATGATTGCAGGGAATGGAGCAGAATGTTGGGAGAATAATAACGGCACTGAATGAATGCCTTGCTGCTCTACCTCAGCAGCAGCTTCAAAGAGTCAGTCACATTGGTATTTCAGGACAAATGCACGGGATTGTATTTTGGAAAAGAGATAAAGGTAACGGTAATTCTTTGGCATT